CACACACACACACACACACACACACACACACACAGTCTCTCTCATCACCTCTCCCCTCCCCCTCCTTTTTTTCCTTTTTATCCTTCTTTGGCATTTTCTTTCAAGCAGAAAATAAAAACATTTCCCATGGCTACAGCTTTGAAAGCTTCCCTCGCCTTTCAGCCTCCATCCCACACCCACCCCAATGTCAGTCCATTTCTAGAGCCAGCGTTGAGTCAAAAACAAACCCACAGAGATCAAGCCTGACAGGCCCCTCCCGGCTGCCCTACACTCTCTCTTCATGTATTGGTCTGCCTTCACCCCAGAGAGGGGCAGGAGGTAGGAATCCTATCACACACACACACAGACAGGCACACACACACCCAGTTTCTATGGCCATGGAGACTCTCTAAAGAACCTTCTAAGCCGGGCGTGGTGGCTCACACCAGTAATCCCAGCACTTAACAGGCCAAGGCAGGTGGATCACCTGAGGTTGAGAGTTCGAGACCAGCCTGGCCAACATGGTGAAACCACGTCTCTACTAAAAATACAAGAATTAACTGGGCTTGGTGGTGGGTGTCTGTAGTCCCAGCTACTCAGGAGGCTGAGGCAGGATAATTGCTTGAACTCGAGAGGCGGAGGCTGCAGTGAGCTGAGATCATGTCATTGTACTACAGCCTGGGCAACAGAGCAAGACTGTTCCAAAAAAACAAAACAAGAATATTCTAGAGCCGTTCCTGCCAGAAAGACCTGCTCACTTAGTTCCATCTGCTGGAGGTGTCTGGTCGTCCCCTACCTGCCCCTGCCCCTGCCCTCCTCTCCTGGCCCGATTGCCACAGATCCTTGTCTGTGGGGCTATCTGTTGTAGATTGAAGAGTCCCCCCCAAATTCATATATTTGATTCCTAACCCCTAATACCTTGAACTGTGACCTTATTTGGAGAGAGGGTCATTGCAGATGTAATTAAGATCAGGTCATACTGGAGTCCAGTGGGCCCTAATTCAACATGACTGATGTCCTTATAAAAAGAGGACATTTGAGTGCAGTGGCTCATGCCTGTAATCCCAGCAATTTGGGAGGCTGAGGCAGGAGAATTGCTTAAGCCCAGGAGTTTGAGGCCAGACTGGGCAAGACCCTGCCTCTACAAATTTTTTTTTTTTTTTTCAATTAACCAGGCATGGTGGCACATGCCTGTAGTCCCAGCAGCTTGGGAGGCTGAGATGGGAAGATGGTTTGAGCCCAGGAAGTCGAGGCTGCAGTGAGCTGTGATCATGCCACTGCACTTCAGCCTGAGCAATACAGCAAGATCCTGTCACCAATAAAAGGAAGATATTTGGAGTCAAACAGCTATGGAGGGAAGATAATGTAGAAAGATGTGGAGGGGGGTGGACACACCAGAGAGGCCTGGGACAGACCCCTCATGCTCTGCCAACACCTGCCACCTTGGACTAGAGACTTGATCTTGGACTTCAAGCCTCTAGAATGGTAAGAGAATACATTTCTGTTGTTTAAACCACCAGTTAGTGACACCTCACTATGGCAGCTCAAAGAGACTCAGACACCATCCCAAATCTAAGAGCCTACAAGGGTCAAGTGAGAACCATTGACCCTTGTAGCTCCTGGCAGTTCCAACCAGCTGTCTCCAGGGTGCCAGATCTGCTGTTGTTCCAGGGAAGCTGGTCTATCAGTCAGAATAGGCCAGGTTATGCTGCAGTGAGAAATATCCCCTACATCTCAATGGCTTGATGCAACACAGAAAAACATATTCTCCTCTTCATATTGTCAACATAGCCCAGGTGCTGCTCCCAGGCCACTGACCTCCTTGTGGTGTCTGGACAGCCTGAGCCACTTAGAGTTCACGAGTTGTCCACCTGCATGTGAGGTCACCACGGGGCATGCACAGACTCCCATGTCCCTGGTGCTCACAGCCCACATGATCACACTTAGCTGAGGGGTGCTGGAGAGTTTTGCTGTGCCCAGGAAGGGGAGAAAAACCAGGTATTAGTGAGTTTAGACAATGCTGGCCATACTTGCAAAGCCACATCTCCTGAGTTGCTAACTTTGGCACTTCTTTTAAAATTGTGGTAAAATGCACATCACATTTACCCATCTTAATCCACCCCCACCTTTTTTTTTTTTTTTGAGGTGGAGTCTTGCTCTGTCACCCAGGCTGGAGTGCAGTAGCACAATGTCTGCTCACTGCAAGCTCTGCCTCCTGGGTTCACGCCATTCTCCTGCCTCAGCCTCCTGAGTAGCTGGGACTACAGGCATCCGCCACCACGCCTGGCTAATTTTTTTGTATTTTTACTAGAGACGGGGTTTCACTGTGTTAGCCAGGATGGTCTCGATCTCCTGACCTCGTGATCCGCCCGCCTTGG